TCTCTTTCTGTTTATTTCTGTGTGTATCTCTTTCTTTCTCTCTCTCTCTCTCCCTCCCTTCCCTCTCTGTTTCTCCCTGTCTCTTTCTCGCTCTGTCTCTTTTCTCTCTCTCTCAGTCTTGTCTCTTTCTCTGTGTGTGTGTCTCTCGCTCTGTCTTTCTCTGTCTCTCTCTTTCTCTGTCTCTCTCTCTCGGAGTCTATAAAGCTCAGATTTTTGCAGTGGCCAGCACAATACACCCACCCATCCTCTCCACCACCCCCTCTCCCGGTTTCCCCGGTGTTTCACTTTTCTGTACTCTGGTGAATTTTATAGCTGCCAAAGAAACGCAGATCCTCGAGAAGGAGAAGAAAGCGAAGCTGCAGTATGAAAAACAAGTAGAAGAGAAGCAGAAGCGGCTGAAGGAGCAGAAGCTGAAGGAGCAGCAGAGGAGAGCCGCCGTGGAGCAGAAGAGGAAGCAGAAGATCGAGGAGGAAAAAGTAGCGTACAGCTGAACGTTGGCGGTTGTCTCTCTCTGTGTGTGCGTTTGTGTGTGTGTGTGTGTGAGAGAGAGAGAGAGAGAGCGCACTGGCCTTGAGCTCACAGCTGTCGTTATTTCCAGCGTCTCCCTACTACATTCTGCATTTGTGTCCATTTCCCCGGCAGGTAGTCCTCGACTTACAAGAGTTCGTTCAGTGACCGTTTGCAGTTACAAACGGCCCTGAAAAAAAAAAGTAGCTTGACGACCCTTTTTTTTTTCACCCTTACGACCGTTGTAGCATCGCCAGGGTCACCTAATGGCTTTGACAACCGACTCATGTTTATGACGCTTCCAGTGTCCCCGGAGTCACACGGTCCCCCTTTTGCGACCAGCCAATGGGGAAGCCGCCTTCGCTTAACCACTGTGCTGCTGTTCATTTAACGACTGCCGTCTTTTGCTTGACAAATACGGCAAGGAATGTCATACAAACGGGGCAAAACGGACATAGCCCATTTCTCCCACAACAACGTAAAATTTGGGCTCGGTTGATATGCCAGCCGTTGAGAAATTTCCCGGGTGTGATCATATCTGACTTGCATCAAGGGTTACAAACCTTATATTTTCTTTCCTCTGCCAGTCAGCGGAATTTCCTAAAAAAAACACTTGGTGGTTGTAAAATTCTCCGTGAATTGTTTTCGCTCACAGAAGGGAGCCTTGCCAAGTGGGAATCCCGTCTGATTTGTGATTGAATTAGCCAAACGCTTTTTCACACCGTGTCAGATTTTTGTATGAGAGTCTTTGCGCTTTAGCGTTCCTTCAAAATAGAATCCGTTTTGAATCATTTCAGAAGTCTGAGTTTGGAAATGAAATACCCCCCACCCCCCTCTCCCCAAGAAGTGAGTTTGCTAATCTGTCGAGCCCTCCTGCCACATAATAGCTGAACATGTGCATCTTAGCGCAAATCCTGTTTATCACCAAGATTATGGCTAATCGGGGTCTCTGGTCTTCAGCTTGTCTTGCATTCTGATTAGTGACAAAGGAAAAGCTGGTTAGCTCAGCTCCTGGGGCGGGGGGGGGAACGGCCGTCTGCTTTCCCGCCGGCGGCAATAAGTTCTTGCCCACTAATCCCCCCAGGCGGTTTGATCCGTAGGTGCATTACGAAGCGGTGGTCCATCGAACGTTGGAACGCAGCCAGCGGTTGGATACGCGGCAGAAGCGGTGGTCGTGGAGCGGCTCAGTCACAGACACCAGCGGAAAGGCAGGTGCGTCCCTGGGGCTCCAGTATGTCTTATCCGGAATGCTCTCGGATTGTGTGACATGAACACATTTTGAACATGCCAGGTTTGGGGGATTATGGGCTCCTTGGTGCTGTCTGAGCTTGGCTATTTTCTTGCGGACGTTTCATGAGCCAACTAGGTAACCTCATCAATGCTAGAAGCAAGTGGGATTTGTAAAGAAGAGGACTGGGGGGTCCTTGGTACTCTCTGAGGTTGATTATTTTCTTGTGGATGTTTCATGACCCAGCTAGGTAACATCATCAGTGCTAGAAGGGATTTGTAGGAAGGAGGAAGAGGATTGTGGGGTCCTTAGTGCTCTCTGAGATTGGTTATTTTCTTGAAGACATTTCACTACCAAACTAGGTAACGTCATCAGTGCTAGAAAGGGATGGTACTCGCAAACTAGCATTGATGATGTTACTTAGTTGGATCATGAAACATCTGCAAGAAAACCAAGCTGGGAGAGTACCAAGGATTTTTAACTTTGAGCTCCAAATATTTTCTTCTCTCAGGTTGGGGACTGCTGAGGCAGAGGGTTTGGTCTTGGCACACTGGAAGGAATTGAATTCAATATTACACAGTCAAACACTCTAGAATAACTGATGCCTTTTAAAAGCCAGAAGAATTAACTTTCCTCCGGTTGCTAACCATTCAAGACAACCGAATGCCCCGTCTCTTTATCTCTTTCTTTGAAGAGAGCTGTGATAAATTTGTGACATGAGCCTATCCGTTTTTCTTCCACAGAAGCCCCAGCCGTAGCTGAAGGTGGGTTCCCTTGGAATGATCTGCCTGCTTGCCTGCTTTTATTTTAATTAACTTAAGCGCACACACACACATACACACAGCATCCTTTGATTTGAGAATTTTGAAATAAGCCATTTTAGAAGAAGCTTGCTGCTATTTCTCTCAAAACATCTGCAGTGCTTAGGTGTTCAGTTTGCCCCAGAGACATTCTGGGGATCTGACCTCTTGACCTTCCTCTGTCAATGGCTGGCTTAATCTACGGATGTCTTTAAAATTTTCACACGGTGTCGTGTTTAGGATTCCTGCTTTCTTTGTGCTGTGATGCTTGTTACTCGTTTACCTGTCCTAAAAAAAAGATAAATCTACACAATTTTAAAGGATAACTTTATACAAACAGCTCTTCAGTTCTTTTGATGAAGGCGATGTAGTCTTCCAAAAAAACCAAAACAAAACAAAAATCCTTTCTCTATAAACTCTAGTCCAGGACTGGGAAGCCCTAATGCTTCTCCCATAGATCCTACTTAACGCAGCTACAGGTAATCCTTGACTTGAGACTGGAATTTCTGTCCTAAGTTGGTATGGTCATAAGTCAAGTCACCATATAGCCAGACCTGACTTTGTCACCCTTTTTACCCACGTTCAGAAGCAAGTTAACTACAACCGTTACACAGGTGTGCTATTTAAGCAAATCCAGCTTTCCCAATGGACGTATTTTTGCCAGAGGCTGGTGGGGAAAAAAATTGGCAAAACACAAGCGAGGGCAGGATGTTTGCAGCCAGTTGCAAATATAAGCATCCAAATTGTGATCGCAGTGCAACAGTCATAAGCACGAGACCGTAAAGCACTTTTCCCCGAGACTGCTGTAACTTTGAACCGACGTTAAGCAAACAGTCATAAGTCAAGGACTACCTGTAGTGCTTGTGGGCGAGTGATTGTCTAAGACCCCCCAAAACGCCAAGTTACTTGCCTCTGATCTAGTCCATGGTTCCTGCTGGGAACATTGAACAAAATGTTGTAAAGTAGGAGAGACTTATGTGTGTTGAAGTCACCCGGACATTCATCACAACTTACAACATTCAGAAGTGTTACTATATCTGTTGGTCTCCCTGTCTGTCTACCCTGTTTCCCCAAAAATATGACCTACCCTTAAAGTAAGTCCTAGTTTGTATTTTTTTTGTGCCCAATATAAGCCCTATCCCCCAAAAAACCCTAATTAAGGTCCTGCCCACTCCAGAGTGCATGGGGAAAAATTAAGCTATGGTGGGTGGTGGAGCTGCCCTACTACTTAACTTTGGACAGTTGTAGCCAGCCTCGCACACCCCGACACCTGCTTGGCCGGCCCATTTCTTCTGCAGCTGGCAAAGCTTTCCTGAAGGCCTCTGTAGCTGAGAACAAAGCTCTGGATCGATCCAGAGCTCTGTTATGGGCTGCAGAGGCCTTCAGGAAAGCCTTGCTAGCTGCAGAAGAAGTTGTTCCTGAAGGCCTCGGACAGCGAAAAGGAGGCAGGGGGCAATGCCCACAAGTGAGGTTAGTCAGTGGGTGACACCCCTCAAAAATAAGATGGCAAAAATATATAAGACAGGGTCTTATTTTGCGGGGAAACATGGTATCCATGCATCCATCTCTCATCTATCTACCTGTCTCCTGGCCAAGAAGTCTTTGTCAACAATACTAAAATAAGCATTTGTTCCTTCAGCCAGCAAGCGCTCTGCGTCGGCACTGAACCTCAAACAGCCCGAAACGGCCCTCCACAAACGCCTCTCGTCCTCCGCAGCGCTTCTCAGTGCTCCCACCGTAGGTAAGGAGCGGACTCCCAAGACCCACCGCCCTTCCTTCGGAGCCGCGGGGACCGCCTAAAATTTGCCCTCAAATCCCTCTGCGGCTTTCATTCACCCAGTGAACCTGGCGCACCTCCAAACCCAGAGATTTTTACGAACCCCGTGACCCCATGTATCAAATCTTCGAGCGAGCACACTTTTTATGCGCTCAACTCAATGGGTTTGTCTAATCTAAACCTAGGAATTAACTTGTTCTCTGGGTTAATTAAAGGAAATTCAGTTTCTGCATCTTAGTTGTGCCCAACCTGGCTTAAAAATTATTCCGTTAAAATCGTTCAACTTTTCTCAATTTGGTTTCCTCTAATTTTTTTAAAAAATTAAGCTCCTTTACAGATTGTCAAGAAGAAAATAGGTCTGGTTGCAATGCAGCAAGCATGCTTTTGGGCTTGGTGATCTCATCACTGCAACGATGGAGTCATCAGGACTCTTAATTCCCCGTTGAGTAGAGGGATTAGCCTCTGTCCTCCTTAAAAGAATCTCCTTCATTGATACCACCTGATTGATGTTTGTCAAGCTAATGAGTCCATATATTTTTTTTTCCTTTCAGGCACAGCTAAAAGGAGCTCTTCTCTAAACAGGCTAAATAACAAAAGTTCTGTGAGTTCGGAGCCAGGAGTCCCCAACGTTTTACAAGCAGAGCAAAAAGGTATATAGTAAATGAGAATTTTGAGAAATCCGCTAATGAGAATTATTTCATCGATCAAAGGCAGCCTGAGTGCCCGTTTGAAAGTAATCCGTTGTTTTGGGCTCTAGGAGAACCAGAGAAGAAGCGGAGTTCATCGCTGAGCAGAGTGAGCAATAAACTTCCCGAAATAGAAAACGTGCAGAAAGAGGAAAAAGCAGGTAGCTAAGAATTGACTCGGTTAGTGATTTTGTGCGTGAGTGAATTGAGAGAGTGGTTTTATACAAGCCCACACACCTCAAGTTGTAAAGCTAGCTCAGATCAAGCACAGAGGTTGCTGCTATCTGCCAGCATTGCTTCCTTCCCAGTTGTTGTGAGCAGCCGTGTCTCCCTCCACCCTGTGAGCCCTCCTGCCTATTGGACAATACCTGGCATTGCCTTTGGCTCCTTTTTAATAAAACCAGCAGGCTGGAATTAGCTATTCTCATTTATTTATTCAACTTACATACCCTCCGGTGCCTGGTGATGAGACAGACTGTAAGTCTTCTCCCTGACAGCCTCCCATCCACATTTGAGAATAGAATCCACACGAGTTGGAAGGGACTTTGGAGGTCATCTGCTCCAACCCCCCTGCTTAGGCAGGGAACCCTACATCACTTCAGACAAATAGTTATCCAAAATCTTCTTAAAAACTTCCAGTGTTGGAGCATTTACAACTTCTGGAGGCAAGTTGTTCCACTGGTTAATTCTTCTAACTCTCAGGAAATTCCTCCTTAGTTCTAGGTTGCTTCTCTCCTTGATTAGTTTCCACCCGTTGCTTCTTGTCCTGCCTTCAGGTGCCTTGGAGAAGAGCTTGACTGCCTCTTCTTTGGGGTAGCCCCTCAAATCCTGCAAGGCTGCTATCATGTCTCTCCTAGTCCTCCTTTTCATCAAACTAGACCTACCCAATTCCAGCAACTTTTCTTCGTATGTTTTAGCCTCCAGTCCCCTAATCAGCTTTGTTGCAAAAGTGTCCTCCCTCTTCCTCTCCTCCTGGCTGACTCCTCCTCCGTTGCTTCCCATCCCGCAGCTCGCCGTTTGGTCGTCCCCTTGGAGAACGCCTCCGTCAGTCGCCTGCTCGCCCCCACCCAGGCCTCCCTAGCCAGGAGTAAGAGCGCAGCCGCCTTGTCTGCCGAGGGCAAAGAGGCCACAGGTAACGTCCCGGAGCCACCCAGCATGGCGGAGTGGGTTTAGGAGCGTAACCGGATAGGATCTCCTGGTCTACCTTGCCTCGTTGGGTGTTTTGCAATAAGTAGGGACAGGGATGGAATCTATTCTGCCAATTACACACACACAGAGATATCAAACCTCCAGAATTGCCCCATCTGGAGTAGTTGAAGATTGCAAGCGGAGGCGGGGGAAAGTGGGTCTGCTTTCTATCTGGAGTTTGGGCCCCAGGAGATGCCTTCAAGAGCAGCCAACTTGAAATGCTTCTCTGCCCGTGCCCGTAAAGACGTTAAACCAAGCCTGGCAACTACAAGTGATTTTTCAGCCTATCAGCATCTTGACTTGAGGGATTCTGTGGGGTCCTTCTTGCTCTCTGAGCTTGGCGGGGTTTACTTGCAGGCATTTCATGACCCAACTGGGTAACATCATCGGTATAAGAAGGGAGTGGGGCTTGTGGAGTGGAGAAGGAGAAGAGAAAGAGGAGGAGAACTGTGGGGTCCTTGGGGCTCTCTTGAGTTTGGTGGTTTTCTTGCAGACATCTCATGACCTAACTAGGTAACATTATCAGTGCTCAGCAGGGACGGAGGTTCTAGCACTGATGAGGTTACCTAGTTGGGTCATGAAACGTCTGCAACCACCAAACTCAAAGGTAGCATCAAGGACCCCGCAGTCGTTCTCTTCCTCTTCCTCCTCTTCCTCCTCCTCCTCCTCCTCTGCAAACTCCACTCCCTTCTAGTACTGAGAACGTTACCTAGTTGGGTCATGAAATGTCTGCAAGATAACCACCCAGCTCCAAGGTAGCACCAAGGACCCCACAGCTCGACCCTGAGCTTCAAGGATTCTCGGCTGTTGATGGATCCTTCTCTCTGTCCTTGCCCAGCTTCCACCGGCTCCCCGGCCCACCTTCCCAAAGTGCCATTACGTAGTCGCAGCACCGACCGGTTGAAGGGAGCTGCTTCCTCCTCCTCCTCCGAACACATCTCCTCGGATTCTGCACAGGTAAGTTCCACCTTTTGAGTGCCCGGCTGCCGCTTTAGGCTTCCGTGATAGCACCGGTGTGAGCCCCACGGATAACGGAGGCCCCTCCGCTCAGTTCTTTTGATAGGACGGCTTCCGTTACTCCCGCTGCTTTTGCGACGTAGTAGTGGTGAAATAAAGGGTGCAATTGGAAGCCTTTGAGGCAGGGTCTTGCTTTGTAACATTTTCTGGCGTTGGCGTGGTGGCTCGAGTGACTGATATTGCAGGGTTTTAAAAAGCCCTATCCTACCTCTTTTGAAACCAAGAGTCGCTGACGGGTCATTCAATTTCTGACCAGCTTTTCTGTAGTTCAGCGTATTTTCCAGATAGTCTGGAACTCCGATTTCCCCCTATAAATGAATGAATGAATTCTTTTATTGGCCAAGCGTGATTAGACACACAAGGAATTTGCCTCCGTGCATGTGCTCTCAGTGTACATAAAAGAAAAGATACATTCACCAAGAATCATAAGATACAACACTTAATGATAGTCATAGGGTACAAATAAGAAATCAAATCATACTAGAAAACAGTCAATAAAAATAGGATACAAGTTACAGTCATACAGTCATAAGTGGGAGGAGATGGGTAATAGGAGTGATGAGAAGATTAATAGTAATAGTAGTGCAGACTTTGTAAATAGTTGGACAGTGTTGAGGGAATTATTTGTTTAGCAGAGTGATGGCGTTCGGAGAAAAAACTGTCCTTGTGTCTAGTTGTTCTGGTGTGCAGTGCTCTATAGCGTCATTTTGAGCGTAGGAGTTTATGTCCAGGATGTGAGGGGTGTGTAGATATTTTCACAGCCCTCTTTTTGACTCCTGCAGTATCCAGGTCCTCCATGGAAGGCAGGTTGGTAGCCATTGTTTTTTTCTGCAGTCCTAATTACTCTCTGGAGTCTATGTCTGTCTTATTGGGTTGCAGAACCAAACCAGATGCAGATAATTTAATGTGAATTAAAAGCCCTGGGTCCCATTTTTCACCATCTTGGATGAGAAGGCGGTTTTTCTACCCAACAGAGTAGAATGCATTCTGTTCTATTTATTCCTTGATTTGTTTGTTTGAAGCTTTGCAGCGTCTCAAGAGAAAACTGATGATGTGACTCTCTCTCTCTCTCTCCCCCCCTCTCTCTCCCTCTCTCTCTCTCTCCCTGTTCTTTTCTAAGAAACCTGAGCCACCAAAGCAGCCCCCGTCTTCCACAGGGAGGAGAGCTCCTTCACCCTCTCTGCCTAGTACCAGGCGCTCCATCTCACCAGGGAACGTGGGGAAACTCCCTCCATCTCCGGCAACAATAAGGTTTCTCTCCTGTTCAGAATCCCTTCACTTCTCCCATTGTGCTCAGGATAAAACCAGTCAGTTAGTCAGAATAGAACTGGAAGGGGGGACCTTGGAGGTCTTCTAGTCCAGCCCCTGATCAAGCAGGAAGAACCGTGATGGCGAACCTGTGGTACGCGGAGCCATTTGTGCCGGCACGCGGGCTGTAGGCAAACATACCTCGCTGCGCATGTGCGCGCCTCAGAGCCGATTTTTGGCTGGTTTGAGGCCAAAAACTAGCCCCGTTTCATCACTTCCGGTATTTTCGGAAAAATGGGAAGTGACGAAACGGGCCTAGTTTTCAGCCTGCAAAGCTTGCAGAAGCCTGCAGAAGCCTTCTTCAAGCCTTTGGGAGGCTGAAAGGGGCCTCAAACCGGCCCGAAAATCAGCTGTGAGGCACAGTGCAGGTCGGGGGGCGGCATGCGCATGCATAGGGGGCGGGGGGGCACGCATTGCCTTCTGGGTGCTATCTCCCGAGTGTGCAAGCGCGCGCACAATTTTGGGCACAGGAGCCCAAAAAGGTTAGCCACCACTGCCCGAGAACATCTCAATAAATCCATCAATCAGAATAGAGCCGGAAGGGACCTTGGAGGTCTTCTAGTCCAGCCCCCACTCAAGACCTAATGGCTGTCCAGTCTCTTCTTAAAAACCTCAGTGTTGAAGCACGCACAACCTCTGGAGGCCAGCCATTTCACCGGTTAATTTTCCTCCCTGTCAGGACGTTTCTCCTTCATTCTTGCCCTACTGGTCCAACTGAGGAAGCCCAAAAGACTTTCAAGAAACTGACTTTCCTCTTGATTTCATGTTCTCTAAAGAAGGACTTTAGAAGTCTGTGGAGATTCTCAGCCATCCAGGTCCCAGAGGTGCTTTTCCAGGAGGCCACTGGACTTCCTGGTTTTTCTTTGAAGATGTTTCGCTTCTCTTCCAGGGAGTTTCTTCGGCTCTGACTGGATGGCGGGGAAATGGAAGGGTTTATATTCCTTGCAGACAGCTGGTCATTTGCATCCTTTTTAGAGGGTCGTTGAGGCCACTTGGAGGTTTATACTCAGGGTTCCCTGAGTAGTGCAAATGGGTGTGGAGCCTTCTTGGCACTGTTGAAAGGACCATGTTGCAGGAGTTCTAAGAAGGCTCCAACCCATTTGAGCCACTCAGGTGACCTTGAGGACACAGACAAACCTCCAAGTGGCCTCAACGACTCTCTAAAAAGGATGCAAATGACCAGCTGCCCGCAAGGAATATAAATCCTTCCTTTCCCCACCATCCAGTCAGAGCTGAAGAAGCTTCTCGGATGAGAAGCGAAACGTCTTCAGAGAAAAAAAAAAACAAGAAGAAAGTCCAGGATCTGCGAAGGCGGTTTGCGAAGGGTCAAGCAAGCCAGCGTTGGGTCAACACATCCTTTGGCCTTTCGGCCCCTCCTAATCGCTCCCCCTCTCTCTGCAGACGCCGGCCGCAGCCGTCTTCCCCAAATGTCTCGCGGCAGCGGGCATCCTCTCCCATGGTAGCCTCTAAACCGGCCCCAATTCAGCGGCCACCCCTCACCCCGAACGTCCTCGGCATCACCAAAAAGAAGAGCGAGGCGGAAAGCACTGTGGTGGCCCCCCAGGAGCCGGGCGCCGCCGGGATCCCCTCGGAGAAAGAGCTGCTCGCAGGACCGTCTAAAACCAAAGAAGGTAAAGTAGAACTCTTGAATAGAGACCCTGTTTTTTTTTAAAAAAAAAATGATGTGAACGTTTTAATTTTTACGAACCGTTTTTATATTTGGATGGTTGGTTGTACGTCAGTCTTTGAGGGAGACGGGCGGTATAGAAACGTGAAGGTAAAAGGTTCCTCTTGCACATCAGTCGTTTCCGGCTCTAGGGGGCGCTGCTCATCTCCGTTGCAAAGCCGAAGAAGAGCCAGCGCTGTCCGAAGACGTCTCCGTGGTCATGTGGCCAGCAGGACTAAACACCCGAAGGTGCATGGAACGCTGTGACCTTCCCACCAAAGGGGTCCCTGTTTTTCTACTTGAATTTTTTACAAGCTTTCTAACTGCTCGGTTGGCAGAAGCTGCGACGAATAACGGGAGCTCACTCCGTTACGCAGCGCTAGGGATTCGAACCGCCAAACTGCCGACCTTTCTGATCGACAAGCTCAGCGTCTTAGCCACTGAGCCACCGCGTCCCTTAAGTAAAACAAATAAGTGAATATAAACTTTTTAAGAGTGACACCTCCCTGCTCCGCACCGGTCACCGTTGCTGAATCTGATTCGGTACCGGTCTGTTTCCCACGTTGCACTCAATCATAGGAGCTGTCTTTCTCAGCTTTGATACGTGGACTTCAATTCCCAGAATTCCCCAGCCCAACCCTTTCACACCCCTCCCCCCCATCCCCTACCCCCCCCCCCCCGAAAAGGGGGGAACCCCCCCCCCCCCCCCCCCCCCCCGGGAAGCTCGGACAGAAAACAGGTCTGATCCAGGCAGGATCCTTCTTCCGCCAAGGGCAAGAGCTCCCGGTGAGTCAGTGGCTCGGCCAGGGCGACGTCCATGCGGCCAGAGGTTGCTCCCCCTCCCCTAGAAGGAGTCCTCAACTTACAACAGTTTGTTCAGTGGACCATTCAAAGTTACAACGGCCCTGACAAAAGGGACTGTGGACCGTTTTTCACCATTACGACCTTTCCCGCGGTTATGTGATTTTCATTCAGATCCTTTGACAACTGACTCACACTTATGGTGGTTGCTGGGGTGACGTGATTTCTCCCCCTCCTGCGACCTTCTGAGAAGGAAAGTTGACAGGGAAGCCAGATTCACTTAACGACCGGGTCACTAGTAATAGCACTTAGACTTATATACCTGCTTCGCAGCCCTCTCTTAAGCGGTTTTACAGAGTCAGCAGCTTCCCCCCCTCCCAACAATCAGGGTCCTCATTTTAACATCCTCGGAAGGACGGAAGGCTGAGTCCACCTTCAGCTGGTCAGGATCAAACTCCTGGCAGTGGGCAGAATTTGCCTGCAATGCTACATTCCAACCACTGCGCCACCACGGCTCTGATTAACTTAACAACTCCAGGGATTCACTTAACAATTGCGGCCAACGTGCTCATAAAATGGGACAAAACTCAAACCAACTCCTGACTTGGTGACGCTTTAAGCAGGCCCCGGGATCCCTTCCTGGCTGCTTGGTCCCGCTCGTCCTCCCCTTAGCGCTGGTAGGTCTAGCCCCGTGGACAGGGCTGGGCTTCCAAAAATTTAGCAGCAGGTTCTCTGCGCGGGTGCTGGGTGGGCGTGGCCTAGTTGGCCTCCTGCATTTTTGCCCTCCCCGGACTCCTGAGGCTTTCCTCAACCCTCTGGGAGTGGGGCTTCCCCGCACTCCGGAGGCTCTCTGGAAGCTGGAAACGGGCCCATTTCTGGCCTTGCCGAACTTCCAATAGGCCCGTTTTTCGCCCTCCCTGACTCTCCGCAGACGCCCCGTACTTACCTGCGTCCAAAACAGGCCGCTTGGGGACTCCTGGGAGGGCCGGACTCCTGGGAGGAGTGGGATTTGAGGGCGCACAGACCCCCGGCAGCCCACCCTCAGCGTGAAAAGGGCCCCTGAGCGGCCCCTGGCTTCAGCCCCCTCCACCCCTGTTTTCCTTTGCAGAGTCACCGGCCTCCTTCCTTCCCGAGTTGCCTCCTTGCCTCTTCAGTCCCTCGTCTCCTGCCGCGCCGTCTTTCTGCTCTCAGGATGTCCCGCCGGCCTCCTCTCTCGGCAGAAGGATGCTGTTCGGCTACGATCCCGTGGCGCGCCTGGGGGTCTCCTCGCACTCCCTGGGCGGCGCCAACCCAGGTCCTTCCTGGGCCGACGTCCCGGGCCGGGAGGCCTCCCCCGGCCTCTTCCCGCCTTGCGTTCCCAGCACGCTGAACCTGGGCAGCCCCGTGTCCGCCAAGGGCTTCCCCCCTCATGTTGTGATGGAGGCCGACCCGGGCGGGCTCAGCCCCGTCCGTTGCGTTGGCTTCCCCTGTTCACGCCAGCCCGCCTCGCCCCACCGGCTGTCGCCCACCTCTCCGTTCTGCCGGCGGAGTCCTGCCCACCACCGGCCCATGACGGTGACCACCGACCCCTACGTCCTGAATAAGCTGCTGCACACCTTCCAGACCATGCGGTGCAGCGTGGACAACATCAGCCAGGAGCTCAGGGTGCTCAACACTCACCTGGCCAATCTCTCCTATCACTTTGGGGCCCCGCCCATCCCAGGCTATTCTTCCCTGAAGGAGCAGGAGGATTCAGATTAAGGCAGGTAGCTCTGCTCCCTTTCGTTCCAGGGTAACAATTCTGCTTTGAAAGCAGAATCTACCACACACACACACAAACACACAATCCCTTCCCCTGTCCTCAGCCCACAGCTGCAGGTGACAAAAGAACATTGAACCCATACTTGCCCTTCTCTTCATCTTCAGAAAATGAGGCCGTGGGTAAGGGCCGAGCTACGAGAAGCATCTCCCGAACTAGATATCTGTCTATTTATTTATTTATTGGAGTTTCTCCTCCCTTTTTTTTTTTGCAATAAAGGGTCTTTTGTAATATAGTAGCAGAGCAGTCATTTTTATTTTTACATTAAGGCAAAGCAGCAAGGGTACATAAATATGAAACGCCTCGGGGTGACCTTTTTTGATCTCGAGCAAAACCTGGAGAATTTAGAATCGTTGGCTGTCTTCGTGAGGACGTTCATAGGTTCTGCCAAACGGTTAACCTGCAGCTTTCGAACTTGTCCCGTTTGTGTATGTGTTTGTGCGTGTGTTTGTGTGTGTTATTCGTGTTTATTGCTTCAAACCTGTAAATGAACGAATGGGGATATCTTTAATGGATGGTGTGTTTATTTATTGCCACAGAGAGGGCCTAGTTTGAGGGTGGCTGGTTGGGGAATTCTGGGAGCTGAATTCCACAACTCTTAAAAAGTTGCCAAGGTTGCTTTAAGCTATTAAAAAGGGCAGATCGTTGAAGAAGAAGAAGGGGAAGAAGGGGAAATCGGTGTCCAGAAGAGAACGCTGACCAAACCAGGAAGGCCTTATCACAAGCACAAATGTTTACTTCCCTTTGGACTGGTTTGTGATTCAGGATCCTAGGGGCCTCCTTGCCCCCCAATAGAACAGAGTTTAGGGCAGGGTCCTCAAATTTGGCAACTTTAAGAACTCCAAGAAATCTGGGAATCCAGGTCCACAAGTCTTTAAAGTTGCCAGGTTTGGAGACCTCTCCTTTAGGATATTACAGTGAGGGGTGGGGGGTCCTTGGCGCTCTCTGAGCTTCGTGGTTTTCTTGCGGACGTTTCATGACCCAACTAGGTAACATCATCAGTGCTTTCAAGGAGTGGGGTTTGCTGTCAGTTTATATATTCTGGTTGCTGGGTGGGTAGAGATGGTCTTAGAGATTCTTTGGTTCGGTTGTTCACTGATGGTTCTTTGACAGTTTCTTGATTTGGGATATTGTTTACTTGATGGCTGGTCTGTAGTTGATCTATGCTGATTGACTGCTGATTACTGGTGGACAGGCAAGACACCAGAACATAAACTGACAGCAAACAGCACTCCTTACTAGCACTGATGATGTTACCTAGTTGGGTCATGAAACGTCCACAAGAAAACAAGCTCAGAGAGCACCAAGGACCCTTCGTGTCAAACCCTGAGCTACAAATATTCTTCTTTAAGTGTATTCCAGCGGCTGTCCAAACCTCCAAGAGAAAGAAGCGTTTTCTCAGGTGTCCTAAGTCAACTGTCGGTTGATAGAAATTGATGTCAGACTCACTCACTGCTTTTGGGTTCCCTTTTTTAAACAATATGATACTTGGACTCATTTGGGGGGTTTAGACTCCCCGCCGATCAAGCTAGCTGAGGGATTCTGGGAGTTGAAGTCCCCCCCCCCCATCTTAAAAGTGGCCAAGGTTGAGAAAGACTGCCACAGAGCGTAGCCCTCCAGTAAATTGTCCAGGGTTGAGTAGTTATTTTTCACTTTAGTCCACGCGAGTTAAATGTTTGTAGCCAAAAAATAATAATTCGAAACCCACCCAGGTGGAGCCTTGGATTTGCTTCTCCTAAATTCTCCATTTCGATGGGTGTTTCCCAAGGAAACGTGTCTCGTCCCAAGAGGTGAATTTTTTTGGAAAAAAAAAATCTGAGGTAGCAAAATAGCTGTTGCACCCCATAAACCTCTCCCTGGCCAGAGCTGCTTCTAGCCAAACATCTCTAAGCAGTCTTCTCTTCGAAACTCTTAATAGCCAAAGTGGACTTCTCTTCTGGGAGTGAAATCACATTGTAAAAACCCAGCATCACGCTTTTTAAAATTTTGAAATAATTCCTTATCTTGAAGGAATTCAAAGCGGGGAAACGGAAGGAATGTACTTAGGAACCTAGAACTTCAACGCTTCATGTATGATCATTCAACTTGGTTACTCTCACACCATCAAACTTTGCGTGGGGCTGCAAGGAGACAGATGGTTTAACAGATGTTTTAACAGATAATCCGAGTTGGAAGGGACCTTGTAGGTCATCCAGTCCAACCCCCCCGCCCAACACCATTTCTGACAAATGGCTGTCCAGTCTCTCCTTGAAAGTCTCAAGGGATGAAGCTCCCACAACTTCCAAAGGCAACTTCTGTCCCGTTGGTTGATTGTTCTCACTGTCAGAAAATTTCTCCTTACTTCCAGGTTGAATCTCTCCTTGTTCAGTTTCCATCATGGAAACAAGACTGTCAGACTCTGTTGCCTGCCCACTAAAGTTGTGACAAGAATTTGAGGGGGGTGTCGGGGCTCTGGCAGTTACCCCCATTTAAGTCTCTAGCCCAAAATTCCAAAACTTAATGAAGATTTATTAGGAGTAAACATGCCGGCGCTGCCTGGGTGCAGCTGACTCTGAGACACATCATTCCTTGTCACCCTTGGCCCTGGTTTTCCTCCACCCCCTGGGTGTAGGTGTAATTCATATTCACCAATGGGATACCTCCATAGTCCAGAGTCATCAATCATGCTCTCCAATTGGAATTTTGCGCAGCTGGAACTTCGGTTGCCTAGAAACTTATCTTTGAAAACATTTATGGAATGCAAGCTGCCCACTGCTCCCCCGTCCCTTTGCCAATTCTAAAAAGACCATGGAAATATTTTATGAGTTGCCGTTGGGACTGGGATACATGAGGCAAAGTTTTCTCCTCCCCGTTTTGTCTAAATCAAGTTTAATTCGGAACAGAGCGGAGTCAACGAGAGCCGGAGCAAAAACAAAAATTAGATAGCAAATTCAGCACTTACTGCCTTTGTGTGGCCTTAAGAGCTGTGGTGGCACAGTAGAAAGGATGTGGTATTGCAGGCAAACTGCCCACTGCCAGGAGTTTGATCCTGGATGGGCTCAAGGTTGACTCAGCTTTCCATCTGTCTGAGGTCGGTAAAACGAGGAGCCAGATTGCTGGGGACGATAGGCTGACTCTGTAAACCACTTAGAGTGGGCTAGAAAGCACTGTGAAGCGGCATGTAAGTCTAAGGGCTAAAACCCTTACTTATTTTTCCAGATGTGAGTGGCAAAGCTCTTCCCGGGACCACAACTGCTGAAGAGGCATCGAAGATCTTGGCAGAGAAACGCCGTCTGGCCCGGGAACAGCGAGAGCGCGAAGACCAGGAAAAGCTTCAAAAAGAAGAGGAAGAAAGGTAGAGAGAGGATTTCCATTCCATTAAATCTCCAGAATTTCGTTTTTTTTTTCTTTCAAAAGGAGGCCTGATGCATTCTCTTCTTGGCTTCTGCTGTGTGGTTGGTTGGTTGGGTTGACTGGTTGGTTGGGTTGACCGGTAGATTGGTTGGTTGGTTGGTTGGGTTGACTAGTTGGTAAATTGGTTGATTGGGTTGACTGGTTGGTGGGTTGGTCGGTTGGTCGGTTAGTTGGGTTGACTAGTTGGTAAATTGGTTGGTTGACTGGTTGGTT